TACATCATGACATTGCATACAACTAACTCTTTACCTTTTCAGGAAAGATCAATCAACAGGCAAAGATCCTCATATTCCAGACTCCTTCTGGAGACAGTTCAGATGCGACCCAGATATGGCTGACATTCTGATACTTATTCCAGATCCCTTCTAGAGATAGTTCAGATGCGACCCAGATATGGCTGACATTCTGATACTTATTCCAGATTCCTTCTAGAGATAGTTCAGATGCGACCCAGATATGGCTGACATTCTGATACTTATTCCAGATTCCTTCTAGAGATGGTTCAGATGCGACCCAGATATGGATGACATTCTGATACTTATTCCAGACTCCTTCTAGAGATAGTTCAGATGCGACCCAGATATGGCTGACATTCTGATACTTATTCCAGATTCCTTCTAGAGATAGTTCAGATGCGACCCAGATATGGCTGACATTCTGATACTTATTTCAGATTCCTTCTAGAGATAGTTCAGATGCGACCCAAATATGGCTGACATTCTGATACTTATTCCAGATTCCTTCTAGAGACAGTTCAGATGCGACCCAGATATGGCTGACATTCTGATACTTATTCCAGATTCCTTCTGGAGACAGTTCAGATGCGACCCAGATATGGATGACATTCTAATACTTATTCCAGACTCCTTCTAGAGATAGTTCAGATGCGACCCAGATATGGCTGACATTCTGATACTTATTTCAGATTCCTTCTAGAGATAGTTCAGATGCGACCCAGATATGGATGACATTCTGATACTTATTCTAGATTCCTTCTAGAGATAGTTCAGATGCGACCCGGATATGGATGACATTCTGATACTTATTCCAGACTCCTTCTAGAGATAGTTCAGATGCGACCCAGATATGGCTGACATTCTGATACTTATTCCAGATTCCTTCTGGAGACAGTTCAGATGCGACCCAAATATGGTTGACATTCTGATACTTATTCCAGACTCCTTCTAGAGATAGTTCAGATGCAACCCAGATATGGCTGACATTCTGATACTTATTCCAGACTCCTTCTAGAGATAGTTCAGATGCGACCCAGATATGGCTGACATTCTGATACTTATTCCAGATTCCTTCTAGAGATAGTTCAGATGCGACCCAGATATGGCTGACATTCTGATACTTATTCCAGATTCCTTCTAGAGATAGTTCAGATGCGACCCAGATATGGCTGACATTCTGATACTTATTCCATATTCCTTCTAGAGATAGTTCAGATGCGACCCAGATATGGCTGACATTCTGATACTTATTCCATATTCCTTCTAGAGACAGTCCAGATACGATCCAGATTCGGATGTCATTCTATCACTCATTCAAACTACAGTCCAGATACGATCCAGATTCAGATGTCATTCTGTCACTCATTCAAACTACAATCCAGATACGATCCAGATTCATATGTCATTCTGTCACTCATTCAAACTACAGTCCAGATACGATCCAGATTCGGATGTCATTCTGTCACTCATTCAAACTACAGTCCAGATACGATCCAGATTCGAATGTCATTCTGTCACTCATTCAAACTACAGTCCAGATACGATCTAGATTCGGATGTCATTCTATCACTCATTCAAACTACAGTCCAGATACGATCCAGATTCGGATGTCATTCTGTCACTCATTCAAACTACAGTCCAGATACGATCCAGATTCGGATGTCATTTTGTCACTCATTCAAATTACAGTCCAGATACGATCCAGATTCGGATGTCATTCTATCACTCATTCAAATACATTTCAGATACGCTCCAGACGCAGATGCAATTCTGACAATCATCCACACTCAACTTTATTCTCCAGCAGCTCCGGGATTTATTTTCCCAGCTAAAACATCACATTTCCCTACGTCATAGTGTGGACAAGTTCTATAACCTCAGCGGTTTACTCCATTGAGCACGAGATAGTTCCTAGATCTTGATGAAGATGTTTCCACCCAGTTGAATTATGAACATGTTCTTAAAACTCAACTGAAGCATTCTTTCAGTTGAAGTACAGGCGGGTTTCTAAATCTCAACGAAGTCAGACTTCCCCAGTGGAATCTTCTACAACAACAGGTATGTAAGTTCTCGCTAAGGAATCTCTTATGCGATCGACACTCCTGTAGATGGCATCTATAAGCCCATCCTCTTACCAACAATCCCCAAGTGGCATCTGTAAGCACATTCCCGACATCACAATGCTGATACTACACCATGCGAGTGCAAATTTCTAGGCACTCTAGTGTTCAATTATCTTCCACCCTCGGATCACGAAAGGCTCGAAAGCCAATCTATATCCTCAGGTTTAAGAAAATTGAACAGGGGCAACTATTGCACCCCAAAATTTGTCCTCTAATGTTTTCCAAAGTCTTCCCCCTGCATGGTTGATCATAAACCCTTGCCTAAGGAAAAAGAAAATTTTTTGAGTGGTGCTTTAAGCATTTCGATTGGCATTCTTTAAGACCCTTCGATTGTCATTCTGAAGGAGCACTTCGATTGGAATTCTGAAGGAGAATTTCGATTGGCATTCTGAAGAAGCATTTCGATTGGCACTCTGAAGAAGCATTTCGATTGGCATTATGAAGGAGCCTTTCGATTGGCATTATGGACAAGTATTTCGATTGGCATTATAACAGTGTCCTTCGATTGGGATTCCAAAAGGTCCATTCGAAGAGGCATTCAAAGGGTCCATTCGAAGAAGCTTTCGAAAAGAATTTGAAGGAGGTCATCAGCCCATTCGAAAGGGAGCATTCGAAGGGTGCCATCAGCCCATTCGAAGGAGGTCATCAAGAGGGCACTCAAGTCAAAAAAGTCCAGGTTCATTCAAGAGACACAAATGTTTCAAAAAAGGAAATTATTTAATGTGTCTGTTTCTTGTCTCATGGCATTTAATGGCCTGTTTAATGACTGTCTCTTGCCATTACTGCACCTTCACACCCCTATAAATACAGAGCCAACATACACATTACAGAGGGAACGAAAATCACACACGAAAATTATACACACAAAACTCAACAGGAGAACAAAAAGCATTGGAGTTACGCTGCCAAAAGTCATCAGCATTTCCAGGAAGCCATACCCAATCCTTGCACAAGCCAAAGCTGCCACCCAGCGAACACCTCCACGCCCAGAAATCCCAGATCGAAGGTATTCATCCAGCCAGTACCCAAATCGAAATTCCAATCTACTGGTAAGAGAGGGTAAATTATCCAACCTTGTTTTTGCATAACATATCATTACTTGTTGTTACCTTCGATTTGCCATCCTAGACAGGATCAAAGGGCCTGGGTTTGGCACCCAGGTCATGTTTTTCGTGTGCTAACATTTGCTGCAGATTTAGCCTGAAGAGACCCCAACAAGCGCAGGATCGAAGGGCCTGGGATTCCATACCCAGGCCCTGCATTTTTGTTTCGCTAACGTGCTTTTGCAGGTACAACATCCCAGATCGAAGGAGAGATCTTCTCTGGATCGAACCCATTAGCATGTTGGATCGAAGGAGGCATCTCATTCCTGGATCGAAAGCCATGACTTCCATGATCAGAAGACAATCCTCTTCCTTGGATCGAAGGCCACTCACGCCTTACTGTCTGGCTCAATCGAAAGGACCAGGACCCTCTCTGGATCGAAGCAGTCCATTCCCTCCCTGAGTCGAAGCTCCTTTTTTCCTTGGATCGAAGGATCCCTCTTGCATGTTATTTTTGTTTTCCATAGACTTTTTTTTTTTATCTTTTTAATTAACCTTAAAATCAAAAACCACAAAACATTAGGCTAGTTCTTTTTCTATTAAAATAATCTTGTTAATTAACCTTTTAATTATCTTAACATTTTTCCAAAAAAAACTAAAATTAAATAGATTTAGATTATTTTCCCAAAATAAAATAAAACAACAAAAAAGTTTTTATTCTAGAATTTTAGAGTTTATTTTCAGATTCGCGCGTTTATTTTATTGTAATTGCCTACTGGTTTGTAATAGCTTAGCTGATACCTTTTACGCTTTACTGCTTTATTCCCCCAATTTTGGACATGTAAATAATCCCCCTTCCCGAAGTCTTGTAATAGCGTAGGATTTACATTTTCCGCACTTTAAATTCATGTATATATATTAACTGCTTAGATGTATGCTAACTTGGATTGCATGGCAAGATCTATCTTAATTTAAAATCAACCACAGCTCACCATAACATGTACAAAGATAACATAAACTGAAAATTGACACACTTGCACATGCCACTCTTAGGGTACACCTCACTTGGTTGCCTCGAACGTGGTCATTAAGTATATGATGTTTTAGAGGTCGTCCTTTGTCCCAAGATCATAAGTTTCCTCGAAATGGTCGCCTCGATAAAAATGATTTAAGACATTAGGATTACCACTAAAGCGTCCTAATGTTGCTTTAGTGACCACAAGTCCCTTAAATCAAATTGACCCGAAAGCTCCAACGACGGTGCTACCTACTCCTCAATAGTGGGATAACACTATCTAAAGGACATTTGCACAGTTTAATTCCTTTTTGAGTAGGTAGAGGTTCTTAAGTACTTGCTCCTTTAAAAAACAAAACACAAACTTTTCACACTTACACTTTTCGAACAAAGTTTTCAAAAACACTTCATACACTCTTGAGGACAGAAGCAAGAGTTAAAATGAAGTTTCAAACAAAACTCTTTTCAAAATCCACAATCACAAAGAAAAGCAAACCTTTTGAAAATATAGTGAGCAAGTACCTAAGAGCTCGTGGATAACCACGGATAGAAAGGATGCTAACACATTCCCTTTCTATAATCTACCTCCCGAACCCGAGAAACATCTCGAAAAGGAATTTTTTTGTGCTTTTGTCCTTTCCTCGTTGGATAAAATAAAAGACGGTGGCGACTCTTGCTTACCGCGACACTTTGCGAAAACAAACGCAAACGCGAACCAGCATTCCAAAAACAGTCGGTTCTCGTTCCCACCGATCACATATGTCATAGGATTTTCTATGAGTGGACAAGCTGTTTGAGGATGCCTCAAATTCATTCCTCACAGGTTTGTTGCTTACACAATTAATAGTTCTTAGTAACTCTCGTACTCAAAAAATACAAATATTATTAAAAAATCTAAAGTTGGTTGGATAAAAGTGAGTTGTTCCATAACCACTCGTTGGATTTAGGTAGATATATGAAGTAGAAGATTGACCATTTTGATTACGAAATGCTTGGAATTTAAAGGCAGATACATCTAGAAACAGAGAAAATTGGGACGAGAAATGGACGGCTATGGTGGGATTTGCCATAGTAAAGTTGACTTCTTCAACGTAGTTAGTTATACATATGATAAAGTAAGGGGTGTGTGAGGAATTTTAGAAGTGTATTGGAGTACCATTTCAAGAGATTCTTTTGGTAATAAAAAATAGGTGAATTCTCCCCCAACTCTTGAATTTAGTTGGTTATGGATATTCTTATCTAATTAAACAATCACATTCAATATTATACTATTTTTTATATTTATTTTATTAAAAATTAAATTAATATTTTAAATTAATTTCTATTAAAATACTGATATTCAGCTATTTATCATAAGTATCTAAAAATTTACGTAAAAAGAATTGTAGGAGCATTTGTTACTTGTTTGAGTCTTACCAAAAATGCTGAATCATTTAAAGTTACTAATTATACTTTTTAACATATATGGCGTTTTGATTATTTTTATGATTAATAAATCATAGTGCCATGATTGTTTATTCAATATTACAATATTACAATATGGTGCAACACAATTTAGAAAATGTAGTTAAAGAATACATTTTGATAATAGTAGATAATATATTAAATATAATTTTTTTTCATCTTTACCAATAAACAAGGCAACGTTCATGAATTCACATGTGTCTACACTCCACGATAAATTGGTCGCAGAAAAAAATCGTTATTTATTTGAAGTTGTTCGAGCTTTTCTATTTCAAATGTCTATTACAAAATCATATTGGGGGTGAAGCAGTTTTGACGATTGTTTATCTAATTAATCACATGTCATCTTGCATTATAGGTAATGTTAGTCCTGTTCAGCTTATGATCTCATTTTTTCCTTCTACTATTATGTTGCAAGGTCTTGAATCTTAAATATTTGGGTGTGTAGCTTTTGTCCATGTCCATAAGCAACACCAAACTAAGTTATATTCTCTTGCACTTCAACGTGTCTTTGCCCTGCTAAGAGAAGAATATGTACAAATGTTGTATTCCTCTCAATCGTAGGTACTTTGTTTTTAAAGATTTCACCTTTCACGAAAATGTGTCTTACTTCATTTGTCCTGAGCCTCAAGGGGAGAATATGAGTGACTTCGACTATGAGTTTGAATTTCTGATCATTAATCACAGTTTTTCTAAAACACGTGTCTCCGTTCTTATCTTGAGTGAATCTACGCATAGTCCTATTGAGTCAACTCCCAGTCCCAAGTCTACTTGTGAATCTGAGTTCTCTTCCATTATGACTGAACCTAATCCTAGTCATACTCACGACTCTACACCTAGTCATATTTTGGTTCCTCCATTTTCTTCTATTTTGCAAGAATCAACAATTTCAGCACCAATAGAAGGTAAGTACTGAAAACGATTCCCTCATTGGTGGTTCTTAGATTTCTAATACTTATGATATTGATCTAAAATATTTACTCATTTCTTTTAGAAACGATAAAAGATTTTGTCCCTCCCTGAATAAATATCTTATTTCTCAATGTGTCTTATATAAACATATTTCCACACATCATCAAAATTGTGTTGCAACTGTTAATTTTATGAGAATCCCATAATATGTTTAAGAAGCATTAAAATGTAAAAGTCGGACCCAATCTATGAGTGAGGAAATGAAACCTCTTGAGAGAAATGGTACTTGAGACATTGTTGAGAGGCATGGAGACAATAACTCAGTTTGAAGCATGTGAATATATATTGTAAAGCACATATCAGATTGCACCATTGGTCATTACAAGGCATGGCTAATGAAAAAACGTTATATCCAAATATATGATATTGATTACGAGGATACATTTGCACCAATTTCAAAGATGAATACTATTCGAATTTTACCATCTCTTGGTGCTTATTCTAGATGGTAATTACAACAATTTGATGTTAAAATTGTGTTATTGTAAGAAAAATTTAAGGAGGAAGTTTATATGAAGATTCCACCCGGTTTTAGTTCTATAAGTAAAACCAACAAATTGTGTCGATTGAATAAGGTCTTATATGAACTAAAGCAGCCCACTCGTGCATGGTTTTAAACATTCAGAAAGACAATGTTATATTTGGGCTATAAGAAAAGCCAAGGAGATCACACTTTGTTTTTTGAACATACTCTAAGAGAAAAACAAATTATACTTCTTATCTATGCTGACAATATTATTATTACTGGAGATGATTTAAATGAGAGACAACTACTCAAAAAGAAATTATCAACATAGTTTGAGATGAAGGACCTTAGGGAACTCAAGTACTTCTTGGAATCGAGATAGTCTATTCAAATAAAGGTACTTTTATCCCCCAGAGAAAATATGTGCTTGATAATTTACAGGTAACACAAAAAATTGAATGCAAGCCTACAAGTGTTTCCATTGATCAAATCATTAGATGAGCTATGAGGAGGAAAATGCCAAAGTTGACAAGGGTCGATATTAAAAGTTAAGGAGAAAGTTGATTAATTTCAGGCATGATCTGAGGGTGAGACACTTGTAGGTTGTTTACTGTGTTCTTCAATATCTCATAGCTCCAACGATATGAATCTTGTTTAAAAAAGGTGGAAGTCTAACTATGAAGAATTATACTGATGTTAATATGCATTTTCAATGATTCATAGAAGATATACTTCAAGATATTGTACTTTCTTACATGGAAACCTTGTTGCTTAGAGGAATACTAATTATAATGTAGTTGCTCGATCAAATGTTGAAGCAAAATTCAAAGCTATGACAATAGGAATTTTTGAATTAGTTTGGATGAAACAAGTGCTTGAAGATTTGAAGATACATTATAAAGGCTTTGTGATAATGTTTTATCACAAAAAAATCGCCCATCAACATTGCACATAATTCTATTAAGCATGACAAGACAAAATTATTAAGATTGACCGACATTTCATCAAAGAAAAGTTGGATAATAAATTGATAAATATCGTCTACATACCTTCTGGACATTAGCTCACAGATGTATTATCAAAGACTTTATCAAATAATTCAACCAACTTACTTGCAAGCTTGGAATGATTGATATTTGTACTTGAAAAAAGTACAACATCTATGACCTTGCCTGAGTAGAACAAGAAGAACCTTAATGTATATGATCTATAAATGATCTATCTTTTTTCTTGGTCTTTTTCCATTGTGTTTATAGCTGTGGGATATTGGATCGAACTCTAGTATGATCGAAGTACATGCTGTAGTCGAAGAAAGGGTCTAGCATGTATTTGTCGAAGATGCTTGTTAAATTAGGTTTTAGTGTTTAAACCCTAATTTGTTAAGTTAGCTTGTTTCTTAAGTTAGCTTGTATAATGGGCCTTGTGGAAAAAGCCCATTAGTTAGTATGTTAGGTTTTATTATAAATAGCATACTAGTCTCTCATCATTGCAACACAGCAAATCCTAATTTAGGGTGAGAGGGTTATTTGTTATTCTTGTAAACTTGTAATCTTGTTTTCAAAGAGAAAGTAAAGAATAGCAGTTATAACCAATTCTTGTGTTCTTCTTCTTCCTTGTTCTTTATTCTTCCCTTATTCTATACTTTGTTATTGGCATTGAATTCACAACAAATTGGTGCGGTGAGCGTGGAGAAGATGCCTTCAACAAAATATGAGATTGAAAAGTTCACCGGAGTGAATGATTTCGGTCTATGGCGCTTGAAGATGAAAGCCCTACTGGTTCAGCAGGGTTGTTTGGAAGCGTTGAAGGGAGCGACGGCGATGGACGCTGCGTTAACAGAAAGAGAGAAGACGGCCATGATCGAGAAAGCACACAGCGCAATTTTGTTGAGCCTTGGTGATAAGGTTCTTCGACAGGTATCAAAGGAGACGACGGCATCAGGGTTATGGGTGAAACTTGAAAGTTTGTATATGACCAAATCTCTGGTAAATCGACTCTACCTGAAGCAAGCTTTGTATTCATTCAAGATGATTGAAGACAAAGTGTTGGCTGAGCAGTTGGATATGTTCAACAAGCTGATTCTTGATCTTGAAAATATTGATGTAAAGATTGATGATGAAGATCAAGCGCTGTTATTATTGTGCGCTTTGCCCAGATCACATGCTCACTTCAAAGAAACCATCTTGTATGGAAGAGAGTCCCTGACCTTTGAAGAAGTTCAATCAGCTTTGTACTCTAAGGACTTGAACGAACGTAAGGAGCATAAACCTTCGACGGTTGGTGAAGGTTTGGCTGTTAAAGGAAAATTCGACAAGAGGAAAGGTAAAAATCAGTCGAAGTCTTATAGTGGTGATGCATCTGGTATTAGATGCTATCACTGTAAGAAAGTAGGTCACACAAGAAAGGTGTGCCCTGAACGCCTGAAAGATCATGGAGGTAAGGATAATGGAAATGCAGCTATTGTCCAAGATGATTTCGAATCATCTGATGTTCTTGTGGTTTCAAGCAACAACTCGTCGAAGGAGTGGATTCTGGATTCTGGATGCACTTGGCACATGACCCCAAACAAAGACTTGTTCGAGGACTTATGTGATCAAGATGGTGGATCTGTATTGCTGGGAAACAACAAAGCTTGCAAGATTGCAGGCGTTGGATCTGTGAGATTCAAGCTCCATGATGAGTCAATAAGATTGTTGACTGAAGTCAGGTATGTACCTGATTTGAAGAGAAATTTGATTTCTCTTGGTGAATTCGACAAGAAAGGATATGTGTTTCAAGGAGAGAAAAGTATCCTGAGAGTCATGAAAGGGTCGAAGGAAGTCTTGAGAGGCGTGAAGAAACAAGGCTTGTATACCCTTGAGGCTGAAGTTGTAAGTGGTTCGACAAATGTTGCATCCACGAAACCTTTGTCGAAGACAGAA